CAGTAGTTCCAAATTTGCAATACAGAATAACATTCTTTTATATCCATTTTTTGCGGCAAAAAAGCAGCGCTTAATAAGAATATTAAGCTCTTCAATAGTTGTAGATTTTGTGTAAATTAATATTTGCCATGGTTCGGGATATGAGCTTTTTATTATAATGTTCATATAATATAATTAAAATTTCAATTGAAATTTAGAATAAACAATAAAAATACAAAGACTTACCCATGGTTAGTATACAAGCTCATAATAATATTTGGTACACGCAATTGATCGTTACATTGGGCAACACATAATTTACCTTTATCGACAACGTCAGAAATAATGCGGTCACCTCTAACTTTAAGTTCACGCGATGTTTTTAATAAGTTTTCAAAAATAGCCTGCAATTTTTTACCAATTTCATTAAGTGTATGAGAATAATCAGTGTTTTTGCGTGAAATGACTGAGTGATCTTTTCGAGATGGTAACTCTGCTTTACTATTAACAAATTTTATAAGAGTCCTGCAGGTCTCAGTATTTACATCATCCTGCACATCAGATGTAAAATAGTCATAAAAGGCGAGAATATGACGAGCAGGGAAAAATGTTAAATAATAATGCTCTTCTTGTGCTTCATCTACTACTTGTTTCCTGCATAATTTAAAGTCAAAAAACATTTATAAAACAATTCTTATAATAATATAAAAATTTACATTAAAAGATTTACTGAATTACCAGTTTTGTAAGTCTTCCTTAAGCTTTGTTAACAAGTCCCTCATATCAGTAGTTCCAAACCTTTTCTCAGTGCCTCTAATTTCTTTCTTAAATCGTCTATAGTCAAAATGTCCCATCTGGATAAGTTTATATCCAACATTAAGAACCTCTTGAGCAGTATCTACTTGTAATACAAATTCGGTCATTATATTTCTTGAATTCTCCTCTTCAATATCTGTGCTAATATTAGCAGGTTTGGCAATCAGTAGGGCACGTCCACGTAAATCTAGTAAATCAGACATAATGTGTTTCATTTCTCCAGATTTGTTGGCTTGATATACTAGTGTAACATTAAATTTATCACTCTTGTCATCTTTTTCAAAAGTATAAGTTCCCCTTAATACAGCGTTTTGGATCTTCTCTTTTGTCACTTCTCCTCTATTTGAGATATTCCGAAGCCTAAAAAAAATAACAAATATACAAATATGCAGGCGTACAGATATTATACTTATAAAATTAGAGGGAATAACATACATGTTTTGTAAAGCCATATTAGAGCCAGCGCATATAGTGATTTTATTAGGCAAAGATGGATTTTCTTGACTATTTTTAAGTAAAACTTTCAAAAATTCATCAATTTTGTTGGATTTATTCATTAATTGGACGACCAACTGCTTAACTTGAATGAGTGATGACACGGTATCTGCTTGGATTAACCGTTCATCAGAGTAGTCATTTGCACCATTAAATAAATTTTTAATATCATTTTCAGCTATGTCTTGAAGAAATTCCAAAAGATCGCTAGCAGATGATAACTCTTTAATCAATGACCAATAATTTTCATTATCAGTTTGGTTATGATCTTTACAATATTTCACAAATTCGACCACCTTTCCTAAAACTAACACGTCTTCTCTTAAAATTTTCAAAGATCTTCCTAGCCAATCCTCAGTTTTAACGGGAACATGAAAAATCTCAACAACAGCAGATAATTTTTGAATTCGTTCTTCCCATTTTGGTATAGCAGTGAGGTTTCTTATAGAAATTTCTAGTTCATGATTATTTCTACCCAAATAAACCACCTCATTAATTAATTCCAATTCTTTCTTTATATCGTCAACATTCTTCCATAAAGGGAATGCTTCAGAATATTTAATGCCTTTCCATTTCTTATCTTTATATTGTTTGAATATTTTAATATATTCTTCACGCACAGCAGGTATTAAAGCATTGGTATCACAATCAAATTGTATTTCACCAGTAATTTGACTTAAATGTGTTTCAAACATGTTAGTAAAAGTTTTGAAATTTGCAAATTTGCATGCTTCTGCCACCTTCTGAATTAAATCTTCATGACGCTCCCAGTAGCGTGAAGATAATGCTTCCTTGAGCTGAACTTTTGACAATATCTTTAATTTCCCCTCTAAATCAATAGTGTATACATCCGAATCTACAACTTTATCTGATGGACAAAAAGTTCTATAAAAAGCCTTAAGACATCTTAACCTGCTTTCATATGTCTTACACTCATTGCGAACTGCTAAAATATTATTTTCGGAAATAATTACACTTTGAAATGTTTTTTTGGCATTAGGACTATGAAGAACATTAAGGCATTCGGATAATTGACGATCGTCATGTTTTGATAAAATTGCTTGTAATGTTTTAATATCGATAGTTTTATCAACAATCGAGCCTGCTAAGTTAGAAATGGTTGTGCGTATTTTTGTAGCATAGGAATGTTTATGTAAAATTGCTACATTGCCTCTTGCATCAAAAATCACTCGCCAGAAATTCGCATGCTTAATAAGATCCAATTGTTGTTCAGTAGAATTAATTTGAGATGTATGGCTTTCCAAACAAGTCATAATATGGCATAATAAGTTTTCACTAATGCTATTTGAATAAAAACTTTTATTAGGCATATTAGTATATTTAACAAAATAATAATTTATTTAATTTATACCTATTTGGAACATCTAAATTTTCTAAATTTATTTGATTATTTTGTCCACAAATCAAACATATCATTTCCATAAGATTGTTATTAATACTTCGAATATCTCTAGCAACAAGAACATTTTCAATTATCAAATTATAAAACTGAGTGGTAATAGATTTGTTAAGCGTCGCTACTTGAACTGTTGCAAAGAGAATATGATTATGTGAACATTTTTTAATTTTTTCGTCAGCAACACGTATCAATGTCTTGTAAATATTTGATTTATCTGAAAGTAAAGACTGCAAGCGTGTTATATGCTCATAAATAACACATATAAATCTTCTCCCTTCATTTAATGGCATGCTATAATTATAATTCAGCATTGATATGGTACGTGTAAACCATTGTTGGCATATGTTTGTAACCTCTGATGATCTAGTATTGTGAAAGTTAGAGTAAATCCAATATTCTAAAAGCTCTGGAAACATGTTCAATAAATTAAAAACTGTCGACTGAGAAATGCAATTTATAGCACTAAGGAAATCCTCTCTTTCAAAATATAATTGTTTATCCTTAAGAAGTTTCCCGAGCGCTGACAAACTATTTTTGTCCCAATCATCCTGCTGACTCTTAAGTAAATTAATTATTCGTTCACGGAAAAGATTAGCAACCATGTCCAGAAATTCAGGGAGAACTTTATTAAAATTCGCGTACAAAGCACTTGCATTGTCATGAGCAATAATTTTATAAACACATCCGTTGATTTCATTTGCAATTTCACGATCAATACTTGATGTATGATAAATACAATCACACCATATAATATTAAGAGTCTCCATATTTGAGCAAAAAGAAATCAACCACTGCAAAAACAATAAATAAATTAAAGATTTCTAAATCAATCTAATTAAAAACAAGATATAAAAATTATACCTTGCCAATTTTGTTATAAACACGATCATCTAGTTGATCCAAGTGCGGAATAACTATTTTCGGCCATTCCTTTAATAAGTGGGATATGTGTTCACTATCATAGCAAACATTCATAAATCCATCGACAAAACTATAATTGGGATCAAGAACCTGCGCTACTCGAAAGATCTTAAGCCATTCAAATGATTTCCTTACGGTAGCATTATGACGAACTAAAGCAACAACAACTGGAATCATTATTGGTTTAATATTAGATGTGAATGTATTATATTGAACAGATTGGAGTGCTTCAAGTAAACAATCAGATCGAAAATGTGTTGGCATTTGAGAAATGAAACTGTAAGGGTTCCTACGGTACTTGATATGATACCCTAAGAGAACACACAAAAAAAGCCGTTTCTCTTCTTTGTCCTGATAGCGTTGCATTATAAATTCGATGGTGATGGAATTTATTGTGTGATTCTTATGATTTTTCAACAATGATTGGAATTGCATAACCTTATCTTTAAGGTTTTCATTATTTACTGCATCATAGATGCATTTAACGAATGCGAACTCCCTAAGATTATATATACCATGACTCTTATTGTTCTGCCATATGTCATACTGATCATTTGTTCTTGTGTCTAAAGTGCGGTTTTGTATCTCACCCTCTCCTTCATAATCTATGCTGCGCCTGCTTTGGTTAAAGATACCATACTTATATTTAATATCATCCCTACCTATTCGAATGTCTATAGGATGTGATCGCCAATAAGTTGAATATTCTCGTCTATGTGGTTGTGTCAGTTTAATTGTAATCATTTTCCAACCTCCCAATTCTTCACAATTACCCACTATCACCGGTTCACCGTGCCTTTCAATGTTAGGCGGTAAATGCACATGAAATGTAACTAGAACAGATTCCCCATATGCATATTTATCTTCATCTTTACCGAATATTAATGCTGCTGCCCCAATGTCAAATTGATTACTTGCATAAATATTCTGACCTAATGATTTTAAATGAGCTGTAGTCACAGTCAGAATTGAATTATCATTTGTGCTATCAATTTTCTGATGTATAGGAAGAATGATACACCATTGAAGTAAGTAATCTAATTGATTTTCAAAATTATCGTTGTCAGAATATTTAATGTCAGTAACTGTAATATTAATTTCATTGTTTTTTTTGTTATAACTTTGAATATTAGTTATGAAATTTCGTTTACGATTTGGCTGTTGGAAGCACTCAAATGACGTAACGAGAATCGAATCTTTTGGCAAATTTTCTTTAACTTTTAACTGGCCACTCCAATTGGATCCTTCTGGTTTAAATGAAACATGCCCCAAACCTAATATGGAGATGTTTCGTGTGCTTCTATTATAAAACCCTATTTTGGACGGCATCCCAATTAGTATCCAAGTTATTTGTAAACACGAGAACATGTTTTCACTAAATAAAATAAGATTATTCAATATTTATAGTTTAATTAATAAATAATACACAATCATTAAACAACAGAATTTACCCGATATCACTTAAATTTTCAATTTCTACAGAGAACCCACACGTACTCATATTTTTGAATTTAACAATGATCTGTTCGACTGATTTGATTGATTTTCCAATTTTTTCCTCAAGTTTACCAAAAACTTTATAATCATTAGGTTCCAAATAATAAGGGAAGTTCACATGGTAACAACAAACGGAATCGTTAATCGATATCACTCCCGCCGTAAGAATCTTTTCTTTAATCCTAAATAATTTTGACTTGTCATCAATTCCAAGAATATACTTTATTTCCTGACGTAAAGAATCATCGAATATTTCATACAACGGAAATAACTCGTTCCAATCGACAACATATAATGAGTTTATATCGATATCTTTTGTTGACCAAGACGAAATAAAATTATTAAAGTCACTTCTCATAACTATTTTTCCATTTGTTGATAACAAATAGTTTGTATCAAAATTATGGGATTCTACGCAGCTTTCCCACCGATTCAAAATCTCTTTATGTTTTAACAGGAAATCATCAAATACCATATATTCTTTTTGGTTTCTTTTATGTTTATCTGAATTGTTTTCATTTAAATGAAATACTCTGTATAATTTATGTCCAAGGACGACCTTCTTAGGTAAGAAAAATCCATAAATTTTGAATATTTCAATTAATTCTTGATACGGATTATGATGCTCCACTGCCTTTTTCACATCGCCTATTAACCTTTCTAACGGGTTTGCAGCCTCTACATTAAATTCTAAAACGATTCTGGGATATTGAATTTCAATGTAAACATCATTTACGGGCAACTCATCATTTAAAGGGTTTTTCGAAAAATCAAAAATATTATCGATGTTAGAAATCAAAGTCATCTGCTCTAAATTAGCTGCATTCGGGTCAATGTGATTTTTTAACAAAAAAGTAGTTTTTCGTTCGGCAGAAAATCTTAGCTTTAATTGTAATTTGTCATTTTCCATAAGAATAATTGCTGGTTGTGTTTTAAAATTACATGCTGGGAGTTTGGCAACATGTATTCCACGTGAATTCAAAGTTAGTCCATTTGTCCATTCGGAAGTTATAAAACCCTGAGCTTGAGTCATAATTTAATTACTCAATAATTGGTATAACTTTTATAAAATCATCTACAAATAATTCAGTCTATTTAAATTTGATTAACGGAAAACCTTTTCCGCAGTGCTATATTTTTGATGCACATCAGTCACACGAGAATTTTACCAAATTACCACAGTGGCAGAAATGGAATGTCATCAATCAAAACGTCCCATCGTGAGATTAATCATTTTTAAATAAGGTAGCTGCGCGACGCTGTCACGAAAAACCAGGAACGTAGATTTAGGAATCTGTGATTTGATATGATTCTATATTAAGAAATAACTTTACCCAGAACGATTGCCTCCCTCATTACATAACTTGCGACTATTAATACGATTATTGTGTTTCTGGTAGTTACACTATTTAACTGATAAAAATGGTAAGCCGATAATTGTACAAATTGTTTAAAAATAGAAAATGTAACTGTTATGCGCTAATAACCAAAAATAAGAACACTCGCAAAGTTTAATTTTAAGCCCTTTTCACCTTTTTTAGAAAATTCTTATCACACAGGTAACTACTTAGTAAGCGAATTAGGAAAGAACAAGAAATAACTTGCGTTTATTCACAAATAGCATATTTATATAAGCCGCTTTTTTCTAATATAGAAGTCGTTACAGCCAATACGCGATTTACATACGTATTGTATAAACTAGAGATTAAACCTCGAGGTAGGAACGTCCCGAGTGCCCCGATTTTGTAGATCGTTACACAATTGATTAATGATTTTTTTTATACGTTTTACAATACTTTTTTCGGAAGCTCGGGTAGATTATCTCATCCGTAAAATGTGAAAACTAT